AGCCCACGGTCCCCATTGTGTCCACCGGCACGAGACGCATTCAACCTTAACCCTATAACCCCAAACCTACTGCGAACCCAAAACCTACCGCGGCGATGATTCCAAGAGGCGCCGCCGCCGCCGCCACCGCCGACCATGACAGCAATCCTGAACTTACGTGCGCCCGGTGCTGGCCGACGATGGTCTTTTTTGCTGCCGAGTTTGGCCGACGACGATCGTTTTGCTCCGGACCAACACTGATCATCAACGGCACCTCTCGCCCGTTCCCCCCCTGTCGACTATCGTTTTTGATGTTTCTTGTTCCGGACCCAGCAGTGACCATCAACTTCGCCACCTGCCCGCTATCCCCCTTGGGATAATCGTTTTTTGTTTGTGCCTTATCTCCGGACCCCCAACACTTGTGATCATCAACTTCGCCTCTGGCCCGCGCTCCCCCTTGCGATACCCGTTTTTGTTTGTGTCGCCCTCCGGACCCCTAACACGCGTGATCTACGCCTCTGGCCCGCTCTCCCCCCGCCTTTGCCTGCACTGCGCCGGCCGGCAGTGCGAGGTCTGCCGCGACTGCGACTGCACCCGCTTCCACCTGGAGTTCCAGCAGGAGCTGTGGAAGGAAATGTCGGAGCAGGAGGCGAGCGCTCGGGCGAGCAAGAAGAGCAAGAAGCAGAAGAAGAAGCAGAAGGCCAAGGAGCGCAACAAGGCCGCCACGACCACTACCGCTGCTACCGGCACAGGCAACGGTAGCGGCAGCGGTGGTGGCGGCGGGACCGTTCCCACCCCGCAACCGTCTTCCAACGGCAGCACGACCGATGTTGTCGCCCCTCCGCCGGGGCCGGTGCCGATGTCGACGCCGTTAAGTCAAGGCGACAGCGGAAACGCTAGCGGCGGCGGCGGCGGCGGCGGCGGCAGCAGCGAGGGCGGGCGCGATGGCGGCGGGGGCAGCGCCCGTGGTGGCGGCGGCGGATCCCTGTCAGCCAATGGGGGGAGTAGCGTCAACAGTGCCGCCATTAGCGCGCCTAGCGGCGGCGGTGGCGGCGGCGGCGGCAACGCGAGCGGGGAGAGCAAGAAAAAAGGCAAGAGAGCAGTCGCTGGCAGCGGCGGGGTTGTAGCCAAAGGCAACGGTCGATCCGAACCGGTACGAGTCGTGCCACGCCGTAGTGGCACGCCGGCGCCTACTTCCGGAGCCGGGGCGCTCGCGGAGAGGAGCAACGGCAGCGTAGGCGGAGGCGTCAAGCCCACCCAGACCCGAGGGACGGGGACAACGCCGGCCGCGCCGGCGCCAGCGGCACAGCCTCCCCCCCCGGAAGCTGCCGCCCCCGTTGCCCCCGTCGCCAACGGGACACGGCCGCCGCCTCCACCGTCACCGCGGCAACCAACATCCGTAGGCGGAGGCGTCGCCGCCGGTAGCGGGAAGGGAAAGGGGCAGCGGCGGGCGAGAGCTGCTCCGTCGGGCAAGGAAGAGGAGCGGGGGGGCGAAGGCGGCGTTAACGCCGGAGTAAGCGGGCGCGCGAAGACGCCGAAGGCAACAGCCTCTGGCACCGCCGCGGCGGCGGGGAACCGGAAAGTGCCCGTGGCGGCGGCGGCGGACGTAACGCCGGCGGTAGCAGTTGGCGCCCGTTTGCGGTCGAAGACCGCCACCGCTTCGGCTCGGGCGACCGCCGGCGCCAGCGGCGGCGGGAAGACAACCGCCGCCGACGGGCAGTGCGATTCCAACCCTGGTAACGCGGTCAGCCGCGGCAGCATCGCCGTTGGCGGCGGTGCGAGGTTGAACGGAAAGCCCAACCCTTCGTCATCCAATAACTCGTCGGCAGCAGCAGCAGCAGCAGCAGCAGCAGCGACAGCATTAGGCGTGCCGGTTGGCCGCGCCGCTCTGAACGGCGGCGCTGGCGCCCCAGCTCCCGCATCGTCGTCGCCGGCCGCGAGCCGAGGCGGCGGAAGCGGCGGCGGTGGCGGGAAGCGAGCGGGGGGTGGGGATGACGACAGCCTGAGGCAGAACGACAACTACGTGTCCTTCCTGAACCAGACGGGATCGATCCTCGCCCTGGCGCAGATGCTGGACCGGCAGTCGCTCGAGGAGTGCTAGATGAACCCCCGCCTGGGAAAAGCATACCGGCTGCGGCGTGGCGCTGGCGCAGATGCTAGATCGGGAGTGCTAGATAGACCTCCGCCTGGAAAGGATACCGGCAGCGACCTGGCGCTGGCACAGATGCTGAACCGGGAGTGCTATATAGACCGCCTGGAAAAGGATACCGACTCCTCGGCCGTAATTGGCTGCCCGTCATTCGGTGCACATTCTTGTGCCCCCGGCCTCCGCCTCCTGCCAAGAACGCTAACTTTCCTGTAGTTCACCCCCGAGGCGGAGGCGGGTCATGTCCGCGGGGTTGCGGTTGACCAAAGTTTTGCGAAGAAAAAGCATGGCCCACCTCAGTCGGTCGAGACACGCGTTTTTTTTTTTTTTCGTGGAACCTCACCTACCCAAATCTTTTGGAAAAATATATCAACTCTTCCAACACTCTCTTTTTGTTTCTAGATTTAACGGCGGTTGTTGATGTCATGAACGTTCTGTTGTCTGGGAGCAACTGAGTCGGAGTGCTTCGGTGTGTGAACGAGACAGTAAAGTACGTCCTGCAGGGGCAACTAACTCCAACTCCATGAGACTTCTTGGGCGCGGAAGTGGGGGGGGGGGG